GGCAGAGCAGGCGGCAACCGACGCGCTCTTCACCGAACTCGATGCGGAGATAGAGGAGGAGGCCGGAGCTGCAGCTGCCATCCATGTACCCAGAGCCGGGCATGAAGATAGTTGACATCTTCAACAAGGAGTAGCTTAGGTGATCTACGTAGTATGTACTGTATGTTTTATTTTCTTTGCATGCTTTTGTATGAAGTTAAGAATTCTAGTACGAGGTGTCCAGTTGTAGTTGTGCATCTCTGTAGATGCTCCCTAAACGATACAGGACAGTAGTACACAGGCTAAACGAGTATCAAGCTACTACAATGACGCATATCTCTTAAAACTCACTCGTCGTTGCGCGCAAAGCTGTGAACTTCTCACTTTGTGTCGCATGCTTGAAAACGGCTAACTATTCAGAAGAACACTATTCTCTCCTTCCATCTATATAGGGCTTAATGTGTTTTTTAAGACCGCATTTGACTATTGACAAGATTAATAGTACATGACATGCACAATGTAAAAATTATATCATAGAAAGCTCCTTTCACACAAGAATTTAACGGTGTGCTTTGTGTAAGTTGCATGTCATATATTATTGCTCTAATATTTGGTCAAAGTTAGCCATGAAAAAGGCATTATGCCCTATATAGATGGAAGGAGGGAGTACTAGTATTTGTTTGGCATTAACTCAATCTTGTCCGTTAGATCTCATTTGGGTGGCTGATATAGGGGCGCCAGTTATAGCGTCACCTGATCTCAGTCCCTATTGAGGGGTGGGGTGGCTGAAGATGCTCTTAAATGGTTGGATTACTTTCTCGGATAGTTCATTATGTGAATTTAGGAACCCTAAACCCTGGGTGGGGTGGCTGAAGATGCTTTTAAATGGTTGAAATATTTTCTCCTGACGTGGGGCACTGACATGTGGGCCTGAGTCCACATGCCAGTGTGCCAACGGCACGTCACGGGAGCCGTGCCCGTGAATTTGTTTCGCCCCTAGGTCATTTTCGTCCATTTTACCCCCGCCTTTTCTTTTGCCTGCGTTTGCTTGCTGCTGCGGCTTTGCTCGTTCCGCTCACTCTTTTCCCGAGTACGGCTCTCTGTGTGTCTGCTGCGAGGAGTCTCCCTGTCCAGGCCTTCTCTTCTGGGACGGCGGGTGGTGTCGGTCTCAGCGCCATGCTTCTGCTTCGGCAGGGGCGCGCACACAGCTGCGGTGTGGTGCGTGCGGAGGCGGCCCTCTCCGAGGCTTGACGCTGCTTTGACCGCTGCGCTGCGCTGCGCGGCGTGCGAGCCTGCTGCCTGCGTGCTGCGACGTGACGGGGTGGGGGTGCCATGTCCGTCCATGCGCGAGATGTGTCTCTTTGTACTTGGCTGGCGAGGCGCACCGTGTCGGTCGGGTGTGATTGCCTGTCCTGGAGTTGGTGGACTCTGCATGTTGACCTCACCGCATGCGGACGGGGGTGGCCACCGCATGCGGACGGGGGTGGCCCGTGCCCGGGCTGTCTTTTTGGCTGGGGGCAGCGATCCGATGGGATGGGGATGCTTCACGGAGTTTCGTTTTCCGGGTACTTCCTCCCTTCCGTTCTAAAATAGATGATCCAACTTTGTATTCCCTCCGTCCGAAATTAGTCGTGGCAAAAATAGATAGAAATGGATGTATCTAGACCTAAAATACGTCTAGATACATCCACTCCTACGATAAATAATTCCGAACGAAGGGAGTACTAAAGTTAATATAAAGTTTGATCATCTAGTTTGGAACGGAGGGCTACTACTACCATGTTTCGATGGAGATTTCACGTGCTTTGCATGTGTCTAGTTATGGCTGTTGGATTACAGAAATCCATCGGCTCGTATAGAGGCCTTCCTGCCTCTGATCCGAGGAAGATGACGAGCAAGAGAAAGCCATGGGCAATTAGAGGCTGTACTAGTAGTTTTTTTTAGATAATACAGAGTTTTTTTTAGGGCAGAGAATACAGATATATTTTTTTTTTGAGGATGCAGAGAATACAGAGCTAGTACTAGTACTAGTAGTGTGTCCCTTACTTTGATTATTCTTTTTTTTTCATACCTGCTATTTGTACTGAGTATGTCAATTTTTGGGACCTTCTGATTCGGTGGGGCGCACACCCTGCACAGGTGCCTGGTACGGGCGTTCACGCAAGTAGAGGGTCAACACCAAAGTTTCCTGCAGTAAAAAATTTATATGACGTACGTTACATGGCACTCTCCCATGCCGGGCAACACTTGCTAATAGACACATGAAGGTCTCGCCCCTTTGTCCTACTTGCTCTTAGGGTGTAGAAGACACGAAGCACATGCTTTTCCTATGTACTAAAGCAAAGGAGGTTTGAAAGAGGCTAGGAATAGATGAGATTATTGATAGAGCTTGTGAGGTTGATCGTGCTGGAGAGGCGATACTGGAATACCTTTTAATTCTTCCAGATCAAGATTTGCGTATTATGGGCATCAAAATATACGAGAAATGATAGCTATTTCAGCTTGGTATCTATGGTGCGAGAGAAAGAAATTAGTGCACAAGGAAACAACTCAGAATGCAACTCAGATATCAATGGGGATCATAGCCCTCACATACAATTTTGTAAATGCATCATCTTCAAAGGCATCCATAAAAAAGGGGGTTGCCATTGTCCCCCTAGGGGTTTCGTGAAACTCAATGTTGACGCCTCTTTTGACCATGACATGCTGAAGGATACGATGGGGGCGGTTTTGTGAGACGACAAAGGTAGGTTTATTGCAGGAGGAATGAAAAGACTGACCATTGCGCGGATGTTCTGATGGCGGAAGCTTTGGCCCTCAAATTTGGACTAACACTAGCGCAAAGGGCAGGGTGCAATCGCCTAATCATCAACTCAAATAATCTAGAGGTGATTGAGACCATGCAGGATGGAGGACAGTCAACAGGTGCGGCAGCGGTAATTTTCGATGACTGCTTCCACTACGCATGTGATTTTATCATGACTAGATTCGAACATTGTAATAGAGAGGCAAATAGAGTAGCACTTGAACTTGCTAGATTAGCTAGATTTTCTTCAACTTCAGATTGGTTCGAGGAGCCTATCAATGAAATTGTACTCATCCTCACAAACGTGTATTGGTCATTTCTTTTTATTTTTTTGAGTAACATGTATTGGTTATTTCTAATGAATAAAATTTCATTTTATTTCAAAAAAAAACATGACGTGCTGTGTTTTTCTCCCACCGGTTTTGAGTAGGTTTTTGAACCATTTTTTTGTTTTTTTCATTCTATTTTTTGTTTTTTCTATTTCTTTTCTGTTCCTTTTTTGTTTATCAATTCCGCAAACTTCTTTTAAAACTCGTGGACCTTTTCGAATTAGTGAATTTTTTACCTAATCGGCGTAACTCGTAAACCTTTTTTGAAAATTTGGAATTTATTTTGAAATTTATTATTTGTTTCAAAATTGTGAACAATTTTTCAAATTCACAAACATTTTTTTATTTGATTTTTTTAATCATGTGAGCATTTTGTGAAATTTCAGGTACATTTTGCAAATTCATTACATTTTCTGAAATCTGGGAACATTTTTTTGAAATCTGAAAACGTTTTTCAAATTTGGCAACATGTTTACATTCACGGACATTTTTTGAAACAGCAAATATTTTTAAAATTTGGGAACAATTTTTAAAATTCATGAATATTTTTTAATTGGTGAACATTTATCTAAATTGATGAGCATTTTTAAAATTCACAAAAAATGATTTTTTTTAATTCTAGAACAATTTTCAATTATTTTTTTAAATTTCTTTCAAATTCTTGTAATTCCGAACATTTTTTGGAGTTTAAAAAAACAGGGGCGACGCGCCTGCACATGGGCCGGTCGTGCAAGGGAGGAAGGGGTGCGCGTTTGTAAGCTATCTTCCGTGCATATCACTGATGAATAGGAGGACTCCCGGGGGCAACTAATCCACATGTAACCCCTAGAAGGGCTTTCCAACGGGCAATCGCTATGGAACGGAGAAGTGGCTATTTTTTTAATGAATGCTGACCGGAGAACTGTCAAATCCATAGAAAGGACTATTACAAAAACACCTGAAAGGAGGGAATCATAGCAAAAATGCTAGTAAAAAAAGAAATGAAAGACTACTCAATTTATTGAAGGTAAACCAAGCAAAAACCTGAACAACGACAAGTCATACCTAGCTAGACTAGGTCCAAAGCACCATAGACAGTACGTACAAGAGAGGCCGACACCACATGACACACAGCCGAGCAATCAAGCGTCACCTACGCCGCTATCAAAGTGCATACCGACACCATCGCCTGGGGTCTGCTATAAACATACTCGCCAACCTCGTCGACACCGAAGAACGGCATGCCCGGAAGAAGACCTTATCAGCAAATCAGTTCGTGCAAGTGGGTCCCTTTTACTTGTACAGATGCCCTCAGTAGAACTTCGGTATTTAAATTTTCAACCTTATGCCATGTGATTTCAAGACATTATCAGAAACGATCGAATATGACTCGAGGCATCGAGAAGCAATATCGTGCACTTTGGCGGGTCCAGACAAATTTCACTTGATTCTTTGCTGATAGTAAAAAATATGTTTGGTCATATTCTAACTCACTGGAATAGAGTTTGGGATTTATAATTCAACATTTTCTGTGGCATCCAAATACTAATATTTCTAAAATCAAACTAATGGGAGCAAAACGAAGGGTACACTTAATTGGGTTGATATGCACGGATGTACCCGTGCTCGAGAGGTTGACTACCTTGATGCAAATGATGACAGAAAATATGGCTACTAACCAACAGAACATCATATGCAGTTGACGCCATCAGCAAAAATTTCATGGACAAACATTTTCCATATATATTCTTGACATGACAATCAGTATATTTCCTTTCCTTTCCCCTCATTTTCCTAAGACAACATAGGTGTATATACCCCTATCCTTTCCTTTCTCTGTAAGAACTAACAACAAAACACAACAAAATGGCTACAAGCATACAGAGTTGTGAGGGTCTGCGGTTATGTTAGAACATTGTATAGCTGCACAGCGCCGTTACTAGCAATACAAACAAGGACTTGTGCCACTGAAATCTCCATCCAGATGAGATATCATGCGCGTTCACAGTGTATATTGATCCAGTCTTGTCATCCTTGATTTTAATGCTGGAGGAGCCTGAAACCAAAATGAGCAGGTTTCACATGAAGTTTTGTAGAATATTCTTTCTACAAACATTCTCGTAGTGCGAGATGGTCTCTGGCTGAGTGCATAAAGGAACACCGTCGTATTTTTACAGAAAAGCACAAGAAACTTACAGTTGTAATCGGTCCATCCAATAACTTGATTTTCTAAATCATAAAGAACCAGCCTGTTTGAAAATGCTAGATCTGAAATAAGTTGGTAAACATTAGATGCAGCGTCTGGACAAAACTACTAGTTTAATACTCCCTCCATTCCAAAATAAGTGTCGTGAAACCAACATACCTCCCAAAAGCACCATATCTTTTCCATCCTTGGTTTGTAATCCACCAGTCTGGAACCCCATGCAGTACAGCTCCTGCATAGCAGGAAATCTATTCAGCACTACAAAATATGTAATGTCGCAATAATTTTGTTAACTGAATATGATTATATTAACTTAATTAAAGTGGCATTGAAAATATAAATCGCCCCAATACATAAAAGACTTGCGGACCAGTGCACTAAAAGAGGAAAGAGAGGTCTACAGACCCATGGCTCCCAAGAGAGGCCACACACCCAGGTACAATGCGACCCAACTACTCTCCGGGGATCATACCGTGCAACCCTAATGCACCAGCTCAGCACCAGGCACAAGCTCCTTCTGGATATTCAAGCCGGCAGACATGCTGCATAGCTCCGTTGAAGGTGAAGTCATTTCAATGCTTCCATAGGAGCCAAGCAGACAGCATTGATAATACAGCTAAAATCATCTTACAGGAAACAATCACAAGTAGCAACTTTATATATAGAAAAAGGGTTGATGAGTTGCGCAACTATTTGTTTAGAATCCTGACAAACCGAATTAAACTCCAAAATGTACCCGACCTTCTTCTTCTTCTTCTTCCAAGCCTTTTGTCCCAAACAAGTTGGGGTAGGCTAGATATGAAACCCTTTCATGAGGACTTCCCAGGAGGTCACCCATCCTAGTACTACTCTCGCACAAATGGGTTTCATACCCAATGGACTGGCTAGTTTTTACGTTGGCTCGCCAAGCCTATCACAACCCTTATATATGAAACCCTTTCACGAGGACTTCCCAGGAGGTCACCCATCCTGGTACTACTCTTGCTCAAATGGGTTTCATACCCATGGGACTGGCTAATTTTTACGTTGGCTCGCCAAGCCTATCACAACCCTCCTCCTTCACCCGGGCTTGGGACCGGCTAGAAATCAAAAGGATGCCTTCTGGAAATAATTCCGGGATAATATTGCAACTAGGGTTCATGTCATCCCAGAATCTGAGTCGTGATGCAAACAGAGGGACTGAAATATAGATACTAAAACAATATCTTAGTGAACTTCTAAATTCAATATCGATTAGGGTGAGACCAGTACAAGCAGCTGTTGCGAGTCGGGATAATTCCCGTTCCATTACCTCAAAATCCCTATTCACTAGGGTAAGCTCCTGAACAATGAGTGGAAGGGACAGAAGACAGGTTTGAGAAAAAAAATCAGTAGTTGAAAGGGCAAGCTGTTGTCTTATGGAGGACAACTCCTGATCAATGCGGTGCCGACCAATCTACTGATGTGTATGTTGTCCTTTTTAAGATACCTAAGGGAGTACGCAAATGAATGAAATTTACTAGAGCCAAGTTTTTCTAGCAAAGTGAAGAGCATAAATGGAAATATTGGTTAACTACGTGGAGCATCATTTGTAGACTGGAAGTTCAAAGCGGCCCTGGAATGGAGGATATAGGGATAAATAAACAAATAAATGTTTGCTCAACGAATAGTTGTTCAATCTGCCAAGTAAAGATGGGGGTATGACAACAATTATGAGGAAATAAATATCTCCACTCCAAAACCCTGTCACAAGTGATGTTGAATCCAAAGGACTCCCCGTTCTGGATGGGCCTTTTAAAAGTCAAAAGACAATTTCCGTTGTCGGGTATGGCTGAACAGTATATTTGGAGGCATTCCGGGCCACATGGTTAGTCTGTCCAGAGGATGCCCTCAGCAGTCAAAACGCTCCTTTCTTCAACGGCGCCCAGTGTGGTCTGGCCACCCACGTGGTGGTCCGAGGGTTGGTGTAGATGGCCGAATTTGAGTCTTCAAACTTCTCTCAAGTCTTAAGAGTTTCCACCTAAATATGAGCAAGTTCACCAAAAGCATCAAAAAGGTGATGCTAGCGGGTGGGGCAGTGTAAAGGGACCACCGCAGTGTCCACTCGGGCGGCAGGTGGTGGTCTCGCTAGCCGGTCAGCGGGCAGGACTCGATTGGGCAATGGCCCTTGTAGGTGCGAGCAACACCAGGCGCTTTTAGGAAACCGTCGTCAGGATCCTTGATCTAGCTTTCAACCCCATGGACGGGTCTTGATCCTCAATATCGTCCGAGACTCCTCGTTGATGACATCGTTCAGGGTAGAAGCCCAATGCTCGCGACAATTCTCCCACTCTCGTCAAGGGCACCGGGCCGCGGTATCCATACTGCGCCGTTGCCTTGCCCTTGACCGGGTTGCGCCTAGCTAGCCGAGGTAAACCGCCATCTACATCCTTGATCTAGCTTCATGGACGGGTCTTTGTCCTCGATGTCGTCCGAGGGTACTCGTTGGTGATGTCATTCGGGGTAGAAGCCTATTGCTTGCAACAATTGCCCCACCCACTTCCAGGCCACAGTATCCCTATTGTGACGTTGTGCCCTTGCGGGGTCTAGATGGGGGCCCCACAGACCAATACTAGTCCTTCCTGCGCACTTTGTCCTCACTCGTGCACACCCGGGATCAACTTCCCAGTCGGTCACCCATATCCTCAAATTGTTCCAAGCCAAACACGCTTAACTTTGAGGTTCCTTGCGAATGGGCTATTAGAAAAAGGAATTCCTTGTTGATATGAGTAGTCTATTATTCCTATAAAGCCACGATGTCACATACACCCCCACTCAAAGGAACCGACGTCCTCGTCCTAACAGGAACGTTCCCTCTTACTTGGCACTCATTTAAGCACACCAGTGCCAGCATCCACATGTGCCCATGTCATGTGCCACACGACAAGCCACATGAGCCATGTACATGTATGCGCCACTGACCCACACATGCTCGTGTAACTATGAGGGTCGGCTTTGATACCATTTGTAACGCCCCGGCCACAACCACCAGTTTCCAACCATTTCGTCTGACAGGATCTAGATTGGCCCACAAACCCAACACTAGTCTTTCCTACACACTTTATCCTCACTCGTGTGCACCCAAGATCAACCTCTCAGTCGGTCACCCATCCTCAAGTTGCTCCAAGCCAAGCATGCTTAACTTTGAGGTTCCTTGCAAATGGGCTCCCACAAAAGAAGGAATTACTTGTTCACATGAGTAGTCTATCATTCTTATTAAGCCAAGATGTCACACACGTTGCCTTGCCCTCAACCGGGCTACGCCTAGCTAGCCGGGGCTTTACCTCGTTCCAGCCTAGGTCGCCGAGTCTCGTGCCTCCTCCACTCCTTTCTTGTTCCATGTGCCAAGTGAGAGAGAGAGTGCTAAGTGCCCCCCCCCCTCCAACTAAGGGGAGGCCATGTATTTACAAGGGCAGGAATTTTACAGGGGGAGATCCTGGGCTTTTAACATACAATGCCTTGCCTCTTCTCTAATCTTAAAGGTGGGATGGTGGAAGGGGTATCCTTGTGATATCGTTGTAGGGCTCTAATGATTCCTATGTCTATTTACCATCTGCCCTCATCTCTTCATGCATGAGAGGAAGAGAGGGTGTGCGTGATATGATATCAAAAGAATGCCATTCTAGGATCTCCCTCTCCTCCTTTTCCGAGGTATCCTCATATTCAAGAACCTTCTACTATCCAACTTTGAGAATAATGATGTAGTGTGTGCAGGATGTGCTTTGCATCCATATGTTTGGTCTGACTTCTAGCTTTCGAGCTCACGAGTTAGGGCTCTCACATTCTAGTTGTTGTTTGGAAGTCTTCTAATCCTCGACAATGATATACGTCAACTCCCGGTGACCCACCTTGTTCTTGGCTCTGTCTAGGTGGCTAGGCCGTAGCACTCCGGATTTACGGACTTGTCATGAACTAACAACATGCATGATGGGCCCGCGAGGATGGGTGCCAAAACTCCCATCTCCGGGTTGGCCTAGGTAGTAGTGATGGGCAGAAGGCGTATGTGCGTATTCTCACATATCTAGATCACTATGAGTGACGTTTGCATCAATAGGATGTGGACTCCTTATACCATAGCCCGTCGACAATCCGAGTGGTTGTGCAATGCCCGTCCAAGTTGTTGCATCAATCCCAAAGAGGGGCAACACACTAACCCGAATGGATGTAAATGTAGAGTTTGTGTGACTAATTTTGTTTGGTTTTGAGGCCATCGACGGGGTGATGATCGTGGTTTGGGCATTATAGGGCCATCAGTGTTTCCTCCCTTTTCAAGCTACGATGGCAAGATGGAGTCACTGATGGCGATCCTCTTGCTATAACGTTATTGAGTCAAGCTGGTGACTTCGCCATTTCATTAGGACATTTTGTGCGTCTGATCATCCATAGTGTTGTGCCGCGTGGGGCAGTTTGAGTGCCATGGTCCTCCCATGGAGGGCTGCCCGACGTTGCAATTCTTCTTTAAAGGGCCATCATGACCTGATGTGGTCTCGGGGCATTGATCCTTTCTTGCATTGTCTCATGTGGCTTGACGTGATGTTAGTGCCCTTAGGGCTCTTAACCTTGGAGGCGATTTTGAAATTACGCCCCCGGTGACCGTGAGTCTTTTCTATATCTTTGACATTATGGTTACAAGCCATGGTTGTGGGTTGTGCTCTTGAACTTTTTTTCCTAGGGCAATATGTCTCCTGCACACCTTCAACGATGCCTTGAAGGAACCCTGCACCAGGAACGACGCGTCTCTTGCATATCTTCAACGTCATCCAAATGGTATGGTTCCCGACCATGGTGGCGCCTTGAAGGAACTCTGCCTCCATGTGCAACGTCTTCTGCATACTTCAACGTCGTGATTCCCCATCATGGTGGCGGTCTTGAAGGAACCTTGCCACCGAGGATAGCGTGTCTCCTGCATATTTTTAACGTCATGGTTCTCAACCATGGTGTATTGAAGGACCTTGCCGCCGCCAGTGACTCTTCTCACTCTTCCTCCAAGTTGTCGTGGTTCGCGTTCCTGGTTTCAATCTTCTCACTCTACCCGCTGTCTCATCATTTGGTAATTATGGCTTCACGACCCCAACTATGGTTCTATCTCTACATAGCACTTTGAGCTCCTTCGGTATCCTAGTCTAGGGTCATGAAGCTTGGCAAGACATGGTGAAAATATCCAGAGACTTGGTGAAGGCAAAAACTTCGAGCCAGAATTTCATGGCTCTCATGTAATTTTAGACAGCCGAGCGAATTTCGAGGCATCAAACCCGTAGCCGTGTTATTATGGGACTGGCAAACCAAAGTTAAGCTATCACAGCCGACAAAAGTCCAAATCAAACAATTATGGAAACAAACAGGGCAGACGTGCGTTGAAGAACAGGTGGCAGTATTTGACTTGCTACGAGCCAGCTGTTAAATGTTTACTTCATGTGCTAAGCAAAGACTAGCAAAAAAGGAAATGGCATGGGATAGCTTGTTTGTTCTGTTTTTACTCAAGAAAGATGTAATTATGAAAATCTGAATTCTGGAAGCAAGTTGCGGTTACAGTCAGCTAGCAGTGGCACTGTCTAGTACCCCCTCCTTCCAAAAATAAGTGTCGCTGATTTAGTACAACTTTGTACTAAATCAATGACACTTATTTTGGATCAGAGGGAGTAGTAACTTCATGGAGCCATGAAGAGAAGTTGAAAACTTTATTCCTCAAAAAAGAAGGTCAACTTTGTGCCATTTCATTTTAGGAGAACAAATCCCACAAAAAAAAAGGGCAGCCCTGTGCACGTAACTCCTGCTTGCACAAGGTCCGGGGAAGGGCCAGAAGAACAAATCCCACAGTTAAAACTAATTGAACATACTTCTGAAATGAAGACAGTTCAACAGGCAAGCATGGCACAATATTATGAGTACGTGACACTGAAGATAGATAAAAACACAGGGTCAAATGGAACTACATAAACGTAACTCACTATGCGTCTGTGACATACACCATATATGACACGAGGGAATATAATGAGTCACAAGTACACTCCAAGCATATCACTAACACCCGAGGTACGGAATAGGAATATGTATTGATTACTCAGAATATAGAAACCCTCATACATTTTATACAGTCAGAAAGCAAGGAAATCATGGAATGAAGTAAAAGGAGCAAAACATAAATTTTTATGTCACCTTAAGAATACCAGCAAACACAGGCATTAAATTTCGTGTGTGTGTTTTCTGGAGCCAGTTGAAAAGTTTGTTGATGCAGTTCAACAAATTGTTAAGTAGACTTTCTAAAAAACACAAGACTAAACAAATCATGGAGAACATAAGTAAGCATGACAACAATTGAGTTGTGTGCTTAAATTGTAGATGTAATGCTGCTAGTTATATATTTTCCTAGAAAGTAGAAACATTCCAGAACAATGGTTTATTAGTTATTACCCCATTTTGAAAAAGATAGTCATGTGGATGAATATTCAGTGGAAGGCCGCCCTCAAAGTGAAAGGTGATTATAGGAAATCCATCGTCTACACTGCAAAAGATTGAGCACAAGTATTAGAAACATAGGAAGATAAAAACATCAGAATAACAATCTTTATTTGAATCAAGATATCCATTTGCCTAGTCTCTTGTTTAGTAGAAAAAAGAACCAAATGAGGAAATAATCCCTTCATGTCGTGAATAAGGCCACTATCGATATCTACCATCTAGAGTGAACTTCATGGAGAGTGAGTGTATAAGGGGCCACAATCGAGAAGTGAGCATACCTTCCAGAATATCTGAAACATTGGAAATCTTGATCATTTTTTAAGGGCATATCTCCATACCGAGCAAATACCTATAAACCAACAAGTGAAGAAGATGTGATGATTAGGACAACAAGCCCTCCGCTGCAAGGATTGGTTCTCGTCGAAGCTTCCATACCTTAGACATTATAGCATTATAAACCACCTGTGGTAGATACGCCAATGTTGTTCCACTGTCAATAATGGTACCTTTACTTTCCTCTATATCAAAAATATTAGTTGGAAGCTGTAGCTTAACACCACCAACATCAATTGCTTCCAAGTTGACATTGTAATGCGGCCTACAAAGTTAGTTCTCATAGGGTGTCAAATACAAAAAATCAGTGACTCACATGGCAAAAGTAGATGTACAAGCAATGTATATTTCCTAAAATTATATCATGATAAAAGAATAGTTGTCCTTGACTAGTCTCCTAAATTATGTCTAAAGATGGGTGGTTTGTCCTAGGCTCTTATTACTAAACTATGCCTGTGGCTGAACTGTGATAGATATAACAAAATAGCTGCAGAAACAATTAATTGACATAGAGTTAGTAGTAGGACCCAATTATCAATACATTTTAATATAACTTCACATGAACAGGTCGAAGTGTCAGACATGGAGAGTCAACAAAATATCTGATGTGGCATGTTAGAAACTAGATCTCTTGGTTAAGTCACATTTGGTTTTCCTGGTGTGGCATCTTTGAAACCAGATCGCTTCCAACACCACTAAAGTCACACCTCATGTACTCGGTCTAGTTCCTATTAAGTCCAATGGATTCTAAAGTCTGTGTCCATAGCTCTGTAGTTTCATATCATCTACTAGCACCACATCATCAGCGCAGAGCACACACCAAGGAATCATGAAGAAACACCCGAAGGAAGTAAACATGGAACGGTAAGATGACATACATGCCGGGCACCAACGGCGTTGTGCTAACTTTCGGCTGCACGACATCCCCAATAGCAAAAATTCCTCCACCATTTATGGTGTCCAAGCAATGTGCGAAGACCTTCCTCACTTTTCCTGCAGCCGCTAACTGCGACAGCATGGATGAATTTGACTGACCAAATCCAAGAATCCCGTCAAGGGCCTGGCTTGACGACCCCAAATCTCCACCAATCTTAGCACCACACCTGCAAATGAATGATAAATTAAACTGCCAGCTCACTGCCGAAGGAATTAAAGTCTTTCCTAGAGAGCGTACCCAAACGTGATGCTTGTATTGGCCAAGGTGGTTTGGCTATTGCCGGACACCTGGTTGTACTGCAAGAAGTCCGTGACAAAGAACCCAGTGGTGGAGCTTCCGTCTCCGTATGAGATGCTGTACTGACACGGCGCGGCGGGGACGCAGGATGGGAGCACGCCGCCGTGAGTAGCGACGCAGAACTCCTGGCCGCACGTGACCCCGGTGCCGCTCGACGATCCACTGGGGTCGTACAGCGTCAGCTCTATCTACAGCCCCAACACAGCCGGTCGTCAGGATTCAGGAACCAAATCGAACGCTAACGCCTGAGCAAGCATCGAATCCGCAGAGCAGAGCAGAGCAATTGCAGGGGAAACGGAAGAGATGCGAGCGAGCGAGTCGAGTACCCCGAGGCCGCTCTTGCGGGGGCAGGTGTCGCAGGAGACGCAGTTGACCCAGAGTATGTCGCTGCCGGTGTCCACCTGCACGTAGTAGCTCTTGGCCGGCGTGCCGATCCCAATCTGCGTGAAGTAGAGCCTGCACTTCCCGTTCCCGGTCAGACGCGCCCGCCGGAGAGCGAGAGGGGAAAACGCACGCTACGCGCTACAGTAGGAGTAGAAAGGAGCGGCGCGGGCGCGCGAATCGACTGATTATTACCCGGTCTCGGTGGGGAGGCCGTTGCCGCCGAGGGGCAGGTCGACGGCGGCGGCGAGGGAGCGGCCGTGGCGGCGAGCGTCGTGCTCCCGGAGGTCCGCCAGGTGCTTGCCCCCGCCGGCGCCGCCTCCGTGGTGGCGCGGGAACTTGCGGCGCACCTCGAAGACGCCGGTGGCGGCCGCGCGGCCGGGGGCGAGCGCCGCCGTCAGCGCGAGGAGGAGGAGGAGGATGAGGGCCAGGGGAGCGCGGGAAGCGCCACGGGGCGGCTCCATCCGTCGGGCTTCGCTTCGCTAGCTTTGCTTAGCTGATCCCCAGCGACAGCGGCAGCGCGGAGAAGGAAGACTGGCGACAGAAGTTTCCGCGTTAAGGCAGCGGGAAAGGGGGGAGCCGACGGAAAGAAGGCGAGGCCCCGGTGGAGGAAACGAGGCGACGACCGATGGGATGGAGGCGTCGAAATCGGACATGGCGTGCACGTATTTAAAAATCGGCAAATCTCAGGCCACAGGCCGGAGTCGGCGCGCTGCGGTGGCTCGCTCGCCCCGCGCTTACGTCCGTGGGCCCCGCTGGTCCGACGTGTGTGCGGGCAGCGGTGGGTGCGGATTGACCTTTTTTTTGTTTTGTTTTTTTGGAATGGTCGATTGACCTATTTGGTCGTGTACACGTTCGTTCGTGCCCTTTCTCTCTGTTTCTTTCTCGGTGGGTTTGGCCGACCTGGGTTCACTGCTTCGGTGCCGCCGGTGGTCGGCGTCCGTGGCCGCGCCGGTACTTCCTTTACGTCTGTCAGCCAAGGGCCAACGTTGGCTTTCCTTTTCTGGCGATTTTGGGGCCCTTCCGGGTGCTTCTACGTGCGGGCCGATGCCAGATCTGGTGTAGCGAGACTGCTGGATCAGGGAAGCTTGCTTTTAAGCATCTCCAATAATTTATTGACAATTATTCAAAAACAGTAGTAATTTGTTGGTAAGCTTGTTGGTAATATATTCCCTCAATGTCCAAAAGGTGATCATACAGACAGACTCGCAAGTGGCGGCAAGGAAAACAGTGTCTGATCAAAATGATCTTTCAGGTAATGGGCTACTGGTTGAAGAGATCAAAGTGTTGCTAGGGTCTTTTCATGAATTTCAGGTTGCTTGGGTGGGACGGTCGGCAAATAAGGTCGCACATATCATAGCTAGGAATGGTTGTTGTAACTCTTTGTGTAAAACTTTGTTCCATGTTCCTCCAGAGTGTATTGGCTCGGAGGTAACAGATCACGGGGCTGCGGACTCTGAATAAATTGGCAACATTACCCTAAATAAAATCATGCACGTTAATATTAGACAATATATCAATTTTGTTGCATACTAAATTACTAATATTCTATTTGACAAGATATTAATTGCATGTTTATATTAGCTAAGATATACTTCCTCTGTTTCTAAATATAAATCTTTCTAGAGATTTCAATAAGACTACATACGAATGTATATAGACGTATTTTAGAGTATAGATTCACTCATTTTGGTCCATATCTAGTCAATATTCAAATATCTAAAAAGACTTATATTTATGAACGGAGGAAGTAGATAATTACTAGCGTTCGCATGGATATTATGTATGCTATTAATTAGGAGAGGATCGTGTGAGGAAGGTCACGGATAGCTCCGTACTAAATTGGACTGGATCTCCAATTCAATGAAGAAATTGAAATGGCATGAATAAGACTTCACATGTTTGGTTATACACTAAATTGGCAATTGAAATGCCTATGAGGTTTCAATACCAAATCGTGTTTGGATGACAAACTATGAAATTGCATAGTAGCATTACAATGAAGACTATACCTTGTTCTACATGACTCAAAATGGAATTTGCTAGATGTGGTTATAATTGAATGAATATATAGTTAATAGAAATCGCAACAACACAAAATTGTCACACAACAACAATATTCTCTTATGATAACATGACACTATTTCTAAACAAATAGTATATAGACTCAAATATATAGTTCCAAACAATATTTCAGCCTCATATTCATAGATACAACAAATATGATAGACTTAACATATGTATCTATGATAGTTCATAGACATTCCAACCAATACATGGACTCAAATATGATAGTTCCAAACAATATGATGGTGTCCTGCTGCATTAGGGGGAGCAGGGAAAGGGAAATGGCGTGCTGGTGGCTGGTGGTCTACTGCATCGAGCAGTGTAAGGAAAAGGGGCGGTGGCGTCTCCTGGATGCCAGCAGAGAAGAAACGAACTGCTCAGGGGATATGAGAGATGGAGATGGACCAGGGACGAGGAAGAGACGATCATCACTGGTGCATGCATGGAGGCTTCCAGAGGAGGCGACATGTTAGGGCGAGGAGCAACTGGGGACGAGGTAGGGTGGCGTCACTGGGAGGAGGACTGACTGGCGATGAGGGAGATGGAGCGGGCACATCGGGAGATGCTGCGGTAGGAGCAACAAGTGGGAGGGGGTGCACCTACAAGCCGCCGCCGAGCTTCATGGTGGCCGTCCAGATTCGTGGCCGCAACCGCCCTTTCTATCTTTCTTTATCTGTTTGCGGGGAGAGGGAAAGAAAGTCGAATCAGTATGTTTTGTGGGAGCCGGCCATTTTAGGGCAATTCCAAGCGGGAGCCCTCCGTATTGTTGGCGGGGCCTTCGCGTGCAGGTCCATTCAGGCTGAAAATTTGTTTCCATTACGTGCTGCTAAATTCAGTGTCCATCCAAACGGGTGAAATGAAAGTTTGGAATGCCAAATCCAAGTCAAGCCCTTCAATGGGTACATCCAAGCGCAAGGTAAGTGGTTGGGGCATGACATACGTGGGGTTGTGGCGGAACATTTAATGTTGGCCATTCGATTGGTGGGAAACCACCGGAGTAATAGGAGTGTTAGATTTAGTTAAGTGGATTAGATCGGAGGGTGGTGTCTCTCCTGTGTACATTAATATTGATAGGTTTAAAAGAATTGCAACTGGTGCATTTCTAGTAGTAGAGATAGAGATATTATCAAGAAAGAGTGCATCACACATTTACTTCAATAGTTGTATGTATCAATTAAAGTCTCGCTCTGTTTCTTTGCACTCCGCATTTTAAACTTGATAAAAAAGACTTATATTTAGTAATGGAGGAAGTAGTTAATTGCTAGTGTTCGCATGAATATTATGTATGCTATTAATTAGGAGAGAATCGTGTGAGGAAGGTCATGGATAGCTCCATATTAAATTGGATTGGATCTCCAATTTAGTGAAGAAATTGAAATGGCATGAATAAGAATTCACATGTTTGGTTATTCACTGAATTGGCAATTGAAATGCCTATGAGATTGCAATACCAAATTGTGTTTGGTTGACAAACTATGAAATTGCATAGCAGCATTACCATGAAGACTATACCTTATTCTACATGACTCAAAATAGGAATTTGCTCGGATTTGGTTATAACTGAATGAATATATAGTAATAGAAATCGCAACAACACAAAATGGTCACATAACAACAATATTCTCTTACGATAACATGACACTATTTCTAAACAAATAGTACTAGACTCAAATATATAGTTCCAAACAATATTTCAGCCTCAAATATTCATAGATACAACAAATATGATAGACTTAACACATGTATCTATGACAATTCATAGACATTCCATGGACTCAAATATGGTAGTTCCAAACAATATGATTGTGTCCTGCTGCATTAGGGGGAGCAGGGAAAGGGAACGGGGGTGCTGGTGCCTGGTGGTCTGCTGCATCGTGCAGTGAAAGGAAAAGGGGGGATGGTGTCTCCTGGATGCGAGCAGAGAAGAAACGAGTTGCTCAGGGGATACTAGGATAGGACAGATGGAGATGGACCAGGGGTAAGGAAGAGACGATCGTCGTTGGCGCATATGTTGGGGAACGTAGTATTCAAAAAAAATCCTACGCACATGCAAGATCATGGTGATGCATAGCAACGAGCAGGGAGAGTGAGTCCACGTACCCTCGTAGACCGAAAGCGAAAGCGTTAGCACAATGCGGTTGATGTAGTCGTACGTCTTCACGATCCGACCGATCCAAGTACCGAATGTACGGCACCTCCGAGTTCAGCACACGTTCAGCTCGATGACGTCCCGCGAACTCCGATCCAGCAGAGCTTCACGGAGAGTTCCGTCAGCACGACGGCATGGTGACGGTGATGTTGTTGCTACCAACGCAGGGCTTCGCCTAAGCACTGCTACGATATGACCGAGGTGGAATATGGTGGAGGGGGGCACCGCACACGGCTGGAATAGATCAACAGATCAACTTGTGTGTCTAGAGGTGCCCCCTGCCCCTGTATATAAAGGAGCAAGGGGGGAGGCGGCCGGCCAGGAGGAGGGCGCGCCAAGGTGGGAGTCCTACTCCCACCGGGAGTAGGACTCCTCCTTTCCTTGTAGGAGTAGGAGAAGGGAAGGAAGGGAGAGAGGAGGAGAAGGAAAAAGCCCCCCCCCACCCTCATTGTCCAATTCGGACTAGAGGGGGAGGGGGCGCACGGTTGCCCTGGTCGCCCCTCCTCTTCTCCCACTAAGGCCCATTAGGACCAATATACTCCCCCCCCCGTGGGGGGGTCCGGTAACCCCCCAGTACTGCGGTAAATGTCCGAAACCTCCCGAAACACTTCCGGTGTCGAACATAGTCGTCCAATATATCGATCTTTACGTCTTGACCATTTCAAGACTCCTCATCATGTCTGCGATTATATCCAAGACTCCAAACTACCTTCGGTACATCAAAACACAAAAACTCATAATACCGATCGTCACCGAACTTTAAGCATGCGGACCCTACGGGTTCGAGAACTATGTAGACATGACCGAGACACGTCTCCGGTCAATAACCAATAGCGGAACCTGGATGCTCATATTGGTTCCCACATATTCTACGAAGATCTTTATCGGTCAAACCGCATAACAACATACGTTGTTCCCTTTGTCATCGGTATGTTACTTGCCCGAGATTCGATCGTCGGTATCTCAATACCTAGTTCAATCTCGTTACCGGCAAGTCCCTTTACTCGTTATGTAATGCATCATCCCGCAACTAACTCATTAGTCACATTGCTTGCAAGGCTTATAGTGATGTGCATTACCGAGAGGGCCCGAGATACCTCTCTGACAATCAGAGTGACAAATCCTAATCTCGAAATACGCCAACTCAACAAGTACCTTCGGAGACACCTGTAGAGCACCTTTATAATCACCCAGTTACGTTGTGACGTTTGGTAGCACACAAAGTGTTCCTCCGGTAAACGGGAGTTG